ACCATATTAATAACTTATTTTTGATAAAAAAAATTGTACTCTACATGTTAACAAAGTTACGATTTAATATCTTGTTTATATTTTACGTAATACATTTTATGTTATTTAAAAGTACAAAATATGCATTTAATTATTTGATTCAATAATAATAATAATAAATTCGTAGATTTCTAATCTTACTTCCTAATCACCTTTGCTAAAAGGCAGTTAGGTTTGATTTTGGGCCAACCCTTTAGTTGCAAATCCCTCTTCCTTATTCATTTTGGTAAAATCTTTGTGTTTAACCCAACTTTTCTTCAAATCTCAAGGATACTGTTGGGTTCTGCAATACAGGCTCAAGCCCATGTTCAATAATTTGTTTTTGGGTTAAAAAAAAAACTTATTTTGAAGATTACCCTTATAATTACCGGTCTTTCTTATTCATATTTTGGATTTTTTTTTTAAGAAAACAAGAAAAGACTACACAGATGGATAGCAAGAAAGAGATTATCCAATAAATATTAATTTGTATATTTATTATTAGGATCTTAGATACTTTTAATTTTACATCATTAATAAGATTGACTTTATTTGGTGACTTGACAATAACTGCACCAAATATAATCCCATTTCTTGGTCCTTCAAATTTACAGTAAGGTAAGAAATTAATATGGCAAATGACCTTCTATATATGATGGATTCACTAATGTAATCATCCTCTCCTTGTAACTTTCCTTGGATTTCAGTTAATCATCCTCGTTGACAAAAGTATAGACGTTTTGGACCAAAAAAAAAAAAGAAAAAGAAATGACAAGCAATATGACCCATGATCATCACAAACATTGCATGCATGGAGTTCTAATATTTCTGAACATAAAAAATTAATGTGGAATTTCTTTGAGAGATTGGGTGGGATATATAGCTACGTTAGTATAATCAGACCTTGAAGTATATAGACAAATTGGGTAGTTGTATTAGTATTAGTATAATGGTTTGAGTATGTAATGCTAGTTGTAGTCTTTAGTCTTGAAATAGACACAAAACTTATTATACTTCTTTTTATTCTTAGTGGAATTCATTTTTCTTACTTAATTCAACTCCTTTTTTCTTTGGTATGTCATAAGAATATATAGAAACTTATTTTTCACAAGAAAAACTCAAAGATCCAAAATAATTGATAGTCATTAATTTAGAATAACTCCAAAACTTATGATTTCAAAGCCCCAACTTCTTTTTTTGAAGGTATTTTTTATTTTTTTTATTTTTTTATTTATCTATACTTTTTTTAACTATTGAATGCAAGATGATAATAGTGTGCAAAGAGAATTAATTTCTCCCTAATTTATTGGAAGATCGTGGAAGTGCCACTAATTCGTAAGTCATTTTTAAATTCATTAATTTGTTTTATATTCTTTAGCGTTTTGGATACTGTGTAGTAATATTTTTAATTTTATATTTAAGCTATAAATACTCTTGTTACATGAAATGAATTCATGTGGTATGTATTTTTTGCTTACTTTCCTAAGTTATTTTAAACTTTAAAGGTTAAATATCCAAATAAGCTTTTGAACTATGTTAAAAAAAACAAATTAATTCAGCCTCTATTCTTTTATTGTATTCAAATAAGCTTCTGAACTTCTATTTCGAATCAAATATGTCTCTCTCCTTAATCGTTAAGTAATAGAAGTTAATCAACGGTACATGTGGCACTTTTATATCAAATCATCTATCACATGGTACATGACGTAACATTAAATATTGTTAATTAAGATTGAGCAAATCGATAAAAAAAATAAACATACAAATCTTAATTAATAATATTTAATATCACATCACTTTGACATGTGACAAATGACTTGATATAAAAGTGTTACATGTATTATTGATTAACAGAAGTTAGTCAACAGTTAGAAAGAGAGAGGCTTATTTGACTTTAAAATAAAAATTCAAAGACTTATTTAAACGTAATAAAAGAATAAGATTAAATTAATATTTTTAATATAGTTTAAGAGCTTATTTGAATATTTAGCCAACTTTAAATTTTGTGAGTTGTCATATTTTAGCATATTGCTTACATCTACTATTCTAATTTTTTTTGGTATTAGTAAATATAATAGATTTTTTTTAATCAAATAGAATGAAAGATGTTGCTTTAGTTGATCTTTTTAAGACTTAATTTTTAAATCTACCACCAGATTCATTCATGGTGAGTCACGAATAGATAAGGACAATTTTAAATCTTTAAGTTTACTTTAAGATTTTTCTTAATTAATAAGTTCATTATTCTCTTACTACATGTTGATGACACGTTAATTGTTGAATAAGATGTGATGATAATTAACAAGTTGTTAAAAGAATCATCTAAGTACGTTGAATTAAAGTATTAAGACTAGTAGATAAATTTCAAAAATAGATATCATTCGAGATAGAATAGCCAAAAAATTGTGACAATCACGAGAAATGCATGTTGAACGGTTGTTTCCAAAGTTCAACACGAAGCATGCTAGACCCTTCTTGCCAACCAACCATTTCAAGTCGAGCGAAAACTAAAGGAGAAAAGGAGGAGATGATGGAAAGCTGAGTAAGTTGTTTGACATTGTAAGCAAGTATCTTTTTAATTTTCTTAAAAAATCTTATTGGGATGCAATAAATAGAATTTATATTACCGGCATTAATTGTCATTATTTCAGTTTTTTAAAATTTCGGACAATTCGTTTGTCTTGTTTCGTTTTTGGTATTTTGAACTCTATATAAGTGGAGGGAAAAAGTTGAGGTAGAACATGCATGAAACGAAATCCCTTGGACTCAAGCGGGGGACCATGAGAAACCAACGGACACCAACAAGTCTCCTGTGTGTCCCCCACAGGCACACACAAGGCAATCAAACTTGGTATATTTGCTGGTACTCTAAAGACTTGGGAGCCAAGCAGCCTTTGCATTGGAGAATGTCACCTCAACATATAGGCCCCCACATCTCCCAAGCCAGTAGTAAGAACCTTTCCCTTGATGCATGCTAAACGTAACACCACAAAAACGAAGACCAGCACCCTATACCTAATGCCTCTTTCAGGGAGGGAAGCCTAATCTTTGCAAAAGTCGCAAAGGAAAAGTCGCCCTAAAATAAAACTTTCCAATTCCCAATGTATGGTTTTCCAGGCCAGTTTCTAAGACCGGTACCCTTTCACTTTCGCAATCTAGCCCTAGTGCATGACAAAACATACCCTTTAAACATTAAAAAAAATAAAAATAAAGTCAGGCCCTGGAACTAGCAATGTCCCGCTGGGATGGTTTTAAAGTTTTGACCAAAGGGAAGGAAGACAAGTTCAAAGTTGGAGAGACATTTGAATATACTAGCAAAGTGAAGCTCTACTAGCTAGTAACGGTAAGGGCGAGCGATGCGACGCTTCCTTGTTCTATTCTTTTTTCTGGAAAATAAAAGTCAAAGTAGCTTTTATTTTTACTGTTAGATTGCTCGTGAAAAGGACTGGCCAATGCAAGAATGACACGTGGAGAGTTCCAGCCTTTTCTCTGACCTCGCGTGCGTCCACTTGCGCAAAAGCCCTACTCAGTCCTCTGCAGTCACGTCCATGAGCGACGAGACCCATGGAACGGTCCAGTTTTTTTTTTGTTTTACCACAGTAATTTTCATCATATTTCTGAGTCAGAAAAAGTTACCTCTCTCTCTCTTTTACATTTCATGTGATGGAAGAGGACGAAAAGGTAATTAATGGGGTGAGCAGACGGTTGGGACTCACTGCTCTGATTGTCACGTCTGAAAGCTAAGTATGTTCTGAGCATTTTGACCGGATTTTGGACTCACTCTTCTGATTGAAAAAGAAAGATTATCTTCCATAAAAGAAACTGTTGGTTGCTGTGTTTATATTTTTCTCTTTTTCTTTTGGATTCAGATCCATGATCCGTCGTTAAAAGTGGAGACTGGGGACGAATGTTAAGAGACTAAGCAACAGCAACTGCTTAAAAACATGCAAAAACCCATACACTATTTACTCTTGCAGTACAGATGCTATGAAATTTATCTAGCACATTGATTCCTAACTATTAAATGTCATAGACTACTATTAAATGTCCAGCATACTAAATTTGGGTGCATCGCATATATGTATAAAAATAATTATTTATTATATCTGGCGCATCAGAATGTTGTATCCATATCTCATTGGATCCATATCCATCATTCCCATATAACAGTATATATATAAAGCAGAAGCATACAGAGGATGCTGAATGTAGGACTAAAATTATTAATTATAAAGAACATTCTAAGCTTGGAATTAATGGAGCGTGACAGAAAAATCATTTCGATTTTGCATGATTAGAACTACACGCATATATAGTACTGCACTTATTACTAGTTAAGACAAGCCAAATGAAAACGAAGATGATAAAACATAAAAGCGTTTCTGCTCAAGGAGGACAAGAAAGAAAAGATGGCTCAGTAATGAATTGAAAGCTACCAGAAACAGTATAGAGTCTAGCCTTTCATGGTCGAAAGGGCTTTGGATAGATAGTCTGTTTCTATCACTCTGGCTTATTACCTGAGCCCTTTGCTTTGGAGATGTCAAAAAAAATGGGCCCTTCCCGAGGGGAGGGTTAAGACCCTGACATTGAATTCCTCAAGAACTGACATTTCCATTGCTTCTGTAGCAGCACTAACCTTTGTGAACTTAGCCGAAAGCCTGAGATACAGAAGCCCCACCACCACCACAATTCTTGTCTTTCTTTGACGAAGTGAAAAATCCTGCAAGTTTTTTCTTTACGAACCATAAAAACTCTTACTAAAATTTTAATCATATATAGACGCAATGCAAGCATATAAGGGAGCAAGATAGCGATAGGAAACTGAAACAGTGATTTAATTATATGATTTAAAAAACATGACGATAACTAATAACTATATATAAAAGCTAGGTATCGTTTAAATTTGCAAGTACAATGAGACAACCAACTCCAACTACAGATATTATATGCCAAAGGGAAGATATATGAATATCGCCTAAAAGCTCAAACACCCAAAACAGTTCCAATGAGCTTAAGATGATGATGATGATAATGTAAACCAAAAACTACCTAGCTAATTAAGGTATGCTTGAAGTTTCTTTGACATGTTCATTTTCTTCTGCTCAGTAAGGACGTGAGGAAGGTCCCCAGGGCATAACATCAGGAGAGATCTGGCAACTGAGTGGGGAAGGACTTGCTACGCCATAAACAGACATGGACATGCCAGCAGAAGAGCAAGACTCAGTTGCACCAACAGCAGCAGCAGTAGCAGCAGCACCACCACCAACGTTACTATGAACACCAGGCTTGGTTTCCTGATGATGATCTTCATTATCACCTTCGCACGGCAGCCTATGAAACGCAGGGTTTATAAAAGTAGCAGCCACCACAATCACCTGCGTTGCTGCCATTACTTTCCCTCCTACTATCCCTCCAAACACTTGCCCCTGTGCCCCTGCAAGAGTTACACCAAAAGAACAACACAGAGGAGAAGACAAAGAAGAAGGTGATGGTGACGCCGATGACGAAGATGATTGGGGTGTTTTATTAGAAGAAGATACAGTACTAGAGCCAATGAATGAGCCAGACAAAGAGAGTAGCCCAAAGGGTCCATGAAGAGAGAGCGCGGAAGCGTGAGAGACAGGATGGCGGAGTGTGACGTTTGACACAGACCCAGTAGCACTGATAATACTAACGCCAACATGGTTTCTACGAGCAAAACTGATAATAGTATCAATAATATCAGAACCAGCGGAGATCTCGAGAATCACTGGCTTCATAGCTGAGTCACTGTCTCTGGTAATAACAATGGTGGGTTTGGCTGTTTTTGGACCCTGGAGGCCTACCTCTAGGCTTCCTAACAGTGTTCTCGGATGAAGAAGGAGTTTGGTGTGGTGGTGGTGGTGGTGGTGATGATGATCAAGAGTAATAATCTTGTTGCTAGCGTTTTTGACTTGGAAGAGCCACCGCCTCCGCCAGTGGCAGCGGTGGAGAGTGTTGGGACACTTCGAGGGCTGTGCTCCGATGAGTCATCATCGGAGGTATGAGCTTGCGAAAGGGATATAGCTCCGCTATAGTCCGCCATTGGGGGTTGGGTGGGCCGAGGGGGAGGGGGGAGAGAGAGAGAGAAAATAATAGTGATAAATTGAGAGAGTAACGCTTTTTTAGGGTTCTTATTTATATAGATTGTCAGTGAAGCTAAATCCCAGTAAGTGGGACCCTCATCGAATTTGAAACCTACAAAGTATAGGCGGTCCACAGTTCCCAAAGAGTGTGGGGTACATTGGTTTTGGTAGGAGAAGGATTGAGGCCTGAGGAGATGGAACAAGGGAGGGTCTATACGATCGAATGTGTGCTGCCCCGAGCCCATTCCGACTCCTACTTTCTTTTGGATTTTTAATTTCTAACAATGGGATATTGGAATCTTAGATCTTACGACCATCCTCATCGTCAGATTAAATTTTCATTGCTTCACACTGTTTTTAGATTCAAGAAAAACTTTATATACTTAAAAGTTGATTATCAAATAAGAAAATCACTAATGAAGTCCAATACCAAATCTTATTGATAATTTATCATAAATGGTGCCATGTACAAGTTCATTATCAATCTCCTTACTCGAAACGATTAATGTGGTCATGTAATTTTAGTTAGAGACATTAATTCTTATTTAACATTTTGTACAAATTTAGAAAAATTATTAATAATGTAATTTTTAATCATTAATTGTGTTAGCGTGGCATTGTGTGATGATAATGTAGTTTTCTGTATTTGACATAGTAATGACACGACATAATTAAATGTTGATGTTTAAAATTATTTATAGTTGAGTAACTATGTCATAATTAATAAAATTTATTTATTATCTTTTATATTCCAAATAAAAGAGGATTAGAAACTATATTTGAAATATATATTTTATCATTGAAAATTTTAAACATAATATCGAAAAAAGTTCTTAAACTATTTAGAAAAATTCAAATAATTTTTTATATTTTTATTACGTTCAATCAAGCTCTTATACTTTTATTTTGAATCAAATAAATCATTATGACTAATGATTAACTCCATCAAAATGCTATTTATTATTATACGCCATGTAGTGCTGACATAACATACTAATATATTATAATTAATGATGATATGATATGTTGATATGTTATAATTGATGATAACATGATATACTAATTTGACATAATAACATGACAATATGATATTTTTCACCCTCACATCAACGCTATGTCATGTGAAACCCCACTTTTAGACATAAGGTTAGATTCATAACTTACCTTGGTGAGCTAATGATTTAATGTTTTAAACATGTTTATGGAATCATTTTAACTTAGAAAATTCATAATTTATTGAGAATACAAGTTTATTTTGGAGTTGGTGTCTTTTCGGAGTCAAAAAGGATAATTTTGGATTTAAAAACTACATTCATGTTCATCATGTATCAATATATTAAACCCAAAAAGAGATTTTTACGAACCTGTATTCATATAGGAAATCTAAAACAAAATGTATCAATACATTACCCCTATGTATTGATACATCATGGTCAAACTTAAAAAAAAAATAAAGGTGTTTCGATCTTTTCTCACTCATTTAAAAATCCTAAAACCTCAAACTTTACTCTATTTGGCTAAAAATGTAGTTTTTCCTTGAAAACCCAACCACCCTTTTCCTATTTTCTCTCAACTCTCGTCTTTAACAAAATTTATGAATTTTAAGTATTAAAAGTCATCTTCAAGCTTAGATTTTGATTCAAAAGATTTTAAACTAAGATTTTGATTTTCCAAAATTCAAAGATTCTCAAAAATTGTTTTGTTTATGAAAAACTTAAGTTTTGAGTTGATTTTGGAATTCTCAAGCTCACCAAGGTAAAGTTGCCTATACTCTAGCTAGAAGTAGATTTAAATCCTTTAGTAGGAGTTATATTAGTTGGTGAAAATTAGTTGTAGAAGGACTAGATGATCATTAATTGAAGATTTTGTTAAAGAATCAAATATTAATGATGGAAACATTTGTGATAATTGTTGTGGAGAAAGTTTGAATCTTTGGAAAACAAAGTGTTCGACGAAAGTTGCTAAAGAGTAAGGCACATTTCTTTAAGGTGGGTAGATGCGACATTTTTAATTATTTGGATATAATTAAACATGCTTATTTTACAGCCTTGCATATAATGGATTTTGATAACATTTGTATGGCGAACAAATGTTTTCAAGCATGTTTGATGAAACTTATAGACTAAGTATATGTAGTTTATTATGTAATATTTAAAAGTGAGGAACAACCTTTCAATTGTATTTATATCTCAACATCTCATTTGTGAATAATTGATGTATAATGGATGGGTTTTAAATGTTGCATGTGAAATGTTTTTCTCCTTGATGATGCCATGGTATTTATGGCCATTTATTAATGTTGTGTGGTTAATTGAATGTAGTTTTATGTTGTCTCAACCTTTATAGATATTGATGATTGATTTCATTCCTTGATTGATTATACATTGTACATTGAATTATTGTATTGTGATTGTTGGAGTTTATTGGTATAAAGACTTGTAGCTAGTGGCAGGAGGCACTAGCAATTGTGCACAATGAGTAGTAGCTTAACCAATTCAAAAATTCTTGGGATTTGTTGGATATTGGTAGCTAATGAAGTATTATCCCTGTTTATGAATAATTGTCTACTAAGAGCAATAAGCTATTTGCTTTAGCATGATGACATTATGGTGTTTGAATGTCCTTGGTTAATGCACTCCATTTTGATTGATTAAATATCTAATGTGTGGATTTAGACTAAGTTATTATTGAACTCATGATTGAATTGATGAATTGTATCATGCTTATTGTTACATGACATTTAAATGTTGCTTATTTGTCTATGGTTGATTTATAGTCTTGCTTGAGGTCCTAATGGTTTGTTCTAGGCTAAGATTCTACTCTCTATAGCAAATTTATTGATACATGGAGTCAATGTATTGATAGATTCAACACAAAACCGATGGACTTATATTTTGCTTCAAATCTATCGATACATTAGAGCAATATATCAATAGATGGGGTAATCTATTGATACATTGGATCCATGTATCGATAAATCAAGCTTATTTTGAAACTATAATGTTTTCAAATGATTTTTTAAAGAGGAAAATGACTTTGTTTTAAAACTAAATCTTTGAGAATCTCAAATTTATGTTTTAAACACTCCTAAAATAACATTTTAATCAAACTTTTGATCTGATTCCCAACTTTTAAATATTTTTTTTTAAAAATTTGTGAACTATTTTACAAACAATGTTTTATAAAAGATATAGTAGTTTATCCATGTACTATTTGAAAGATATATAAGTCTTGGAGTGAGAAAGAACATACGTTTCTTGATATCATTTGAAAGATAATAGACTCAAAGACTTCGGGTTTGGTTGGCATAATAGCCATTTGAAAGATATCAATTGGATGACTAGGTAATCATTTGATATTCTTGATAAAGTGGGTCTGTCCTACGATTATGCTTGGAAAAAGCGAGACTTGATTTATAATTTTGCCTAAAAAGGTGGGTTTTGCAAAACACTGGTTAATTGTTTATTTGCATAATCTTGAAATTGTATTTGATAAATACTCTTCCCCATTTGCTTGTTCCACCTCCCCATATCTGTTCACAGAGTTATTTATAACTCACACATGTAAGATGCACTTGTTATTTCAAATTAGTAGATTGCTTGGCTTGCTCTACAGTCAATTTTGGTAGGTGATGGTCATGGCATCCAGTAGGCATCAGTTTTTCTATTTTAAGTCATACTTTGTTGGGTTTGGTCTGGTTCGGTCTGATCTTTTATATTTAACTGTTGTGGATTTGACTTGTTATGTCATGTAATACATGACACTATGGAAATTGTCATGAGATGGCTTATGCTTTTTGTGTCAACCATAGGATGGCGTAGACACTAGATAACATTTTATGTTGCTTTCACAGTTTCAAACACGTAAGCATGCTAACAAATTTTATACACTTTTCTGTTGTATGATATAATCATGGTTATTTTTACTTGCATGTGATTCCATGATGATGATTCTCATGACGCATATATGGTTATTGGTTTATTATCTATTTTAGGCTTACATGAGTTAAGAGGGTAGCCTCGATCGAAACTTTTGTGCCGGTCATGCCTTGGATTTGGGTTGTGACATGTTAGTGCCATATGGATATAAAATGACAAGTGACATCTTAACTAATGACAATAAATTAATTATTAGTTATAAGAGTTTATTTGATTCAAAATAGAAGTATATAGATTTAATTGACGTATAATAAAAGAATAAAAACTTATTTAAATTTTTTTTAGATAATTTAGAAGTTTATTTGAGCATTATATAAAAATTTTAAAATATAGCATTGGTGTATATTGCATTTGAATATAGAAAAGAAGAAATGGAATTCAATCACTTTTTTTTTACTTAAATTATAGTTGTTAATTGTATGATAATTCATGTAGTATTATTATATATATTAATAAGCAATAGAAAGTTAAACAATTAGTGTGTTTAGATTTTTGAGCTGTAAGATTTATTTTGGTATTGCAATGGTGATTAACAACTATAGTAAAGAATTGAGGTTGAAAGCAATCTCATTTTAGTCACGAAAGTAATGGGACATACTTTTAATTTTGTTATTAACAAGAAATTCACCAAAATTAATTTCTTTTTATAAAAAATTTTATTTTCGTTTGCAATCAAATTTAACATATGTTATGTATCGCAATTGTAATCATAATCTAAAATGAGCTCTATGTTGTTGTTGCAAAGCTATAATCGTCATTATATTCAATCTGATGCATGTACAAATTCTTGCATTCCCGCTAGAGACGGTAATCATTGAGCCATGGCCGATTCGGTTGAACACTTCTAATTTATTTAAACTAAATTTATTAATAAAATATTAATTTTTTATATTAATATTTAATATTTTTAAAATTAAATTTTATTAATATAATAATATCTTGGCTTTAGCTGAGCCTACAAATCTTATTCAAGATCCTCTCGAGTCAGGACATGCGGGTGGGCACCTTTAATTTTTAATTTTTTTATTATTATACATACAAAATTATATATATATATATATATATAACTTAATTATTTTTATACTTACTTATTAGTCACTTTTTATACAAAAATTTTAGATTTATCACTGGACAAGTCTAATCCTCTTAGAGATAAAAAATTAATGTAGGTGATTTTGTTTTATTAATACTGTTAGATATAATTTTAATTATTTGAACATATTAGTTTTCTAAATATCTAAATTCACATTTTTTAGATTAATATCTTTAGATTTTTTTTCATTCTAATGTCATTAGATGTTGCATTTTGTTTACACTATTTTTACTTGGAAAAAAGCTTTTAATAAAGAGAATATTCCCTCTTTTGGACTAGGTTGTGATGAAATATCCTTCTTTTCCAATATATGTATATATAAACAATATTTGAAAAGTTTTACTAATCCTCTACTCACACTAAATAAAATAAGGAGGCAACTAGGGAAACAGGTTTCTAAATCTGGGCCTTTGATCAGGCTGGATATGGCTTGTGGGTCAAGACCAAGACCACTAAAAGGCCTTATGAAAACTAGGGCAACTCATGGGCTGCTTTAACGTTTTTAATTTTAAGATCTAAATTAAATTGATATTAGAGAGGGCGTAAATATCCTTAGGGGAAAAAAATGAGGAGACAAAACAAAGCTTCTACCTCCCCCTTAAATGTGAGAAAACGAAAAGCCAACTGCTTCTTTAATGTCATGAAATATGCCACAACTCACCCCCACCAAAATTTTAAATTTAAGATTGGTCTAAAATTTCTTTTCTTTTTCAAAAAATTTAATTGAACATTCATATTCCAAACCTAAGCTCAATTCGCATTACACGTCCATTTTATTCAATTATAACTAATTTGATGGTTGGTTTGCTTGGTTTAGTTTATTAATTTTTAATATTCGGATATAGATTTAATTGTTGTGTAATGTCTTTAGATTTAATAGTTGTTAAAACCCGTTTGATTGTTTAGAAACGTGAAAATGCCTTCAATTCGAGCAATTATTCTTAAACAAAAATTTCATTATATATATTAATGTATTTGATTATATATGTATATATATATAATATGATAATATCATTTTTTCATATAATTAGTTGAGGTGCCATCTGCCTTCCTTCCATTATAAACTCCCCTCCACTGTTCAGATACTACATTAATAGGAAGATCATCAATCATTTTCTTGTTTTCTTCCTGGAAAAAAAGTGAGGTTAAATCCCCAAGGAATGGTTCTTCGATTTTAGAATTGACCTTTCACATACATAATTATTCCCTGTCAGATCTCTGCCCTCCTATCCACTGCTAATTACATGTAACCATAAAAAATTAAAAGAACACAAAAAATCCGTGTGGTATTTCTAACATATGTGAAGAATGAAACCCATCAATTGAAAATGATTTTGTTTGTAACTTACAATGAACTTTTTGTGTACGAAATTTCATCTTCTTTTTTCTTTTTTTTCCCCAAACATACCAAGTCATATGAAATCAATGGAATTTATGAAGTATTTCCGAACACACTACTCAAATAAAAATTGATTGGCAATGCTCAACAATGTCCAAAAATATACATATATCTTCACCAGCAAAATTTTCCTATGACCAATTCCCAAAACGTTCAAGGATCTAACTATCCTAATTAAAAATATCTATATTGAAAGTAATAAATTTAGAACAAATAAATGAATCTCGATGAATGATTTCTGAATGGGGAAAATGAGTATTGCATAAATTATACCACATTAGTTGTTATTATCTCTCAGGCTGTTCATTGCGGAATCCCCTTTGGATAGTTTTGTTTATCTTTTGTGAAACACTATTATCAAGGAAACCAGTTGGGAAAACCTTATGCAACTTCTAAATAGAGTGGGAAAGAGGAAAATAAAAACTATGGCAGACTTTTCTAGCTAATCACCACTTCCCATAAACATACAGGAACAAATAAAAAGCTTTTCACCTTACCAAGTGAAAACAGAAAGAAAGAAAAAAAAAAGGAACTGGAACAGGGAAGAAACATGAGGATCAGCTTTAACATAACTACAAAAATATATTAAGTACTTGTTCTGCTTCAGCTGTCAGCTATCAAGAAGGTTTGGTGCTCGCAGAAGGCTTCTTTTCAGGACCCTGGGAATGGTTTCCGAAAGAGTCTTGGTGGTGATGATGATGATGAATAGTTGCGGATGGGTTTGCTGCAGACCTGTCAGTGGTTGAACCATTAGAGCCGTGACGACCATAAGGACTAGCAATTGCTTGGGTTGAGTCAGTGGATTTGGGAGGCGGTTCGTCCCCTTCCAATGTTAACTCTGGTGGGAGGACTCGAGAGGCTTGGCGTCTGTGGCGAGACATTGGTGGCTGATGTATCTGTCTTGTGACTCTTGTCTTTGCGCTGGCTGCTTTGGGCCAGCTCGAGGAGGAGACTATTATATCCTAAAGAAAGATATTTGCCACGCGCAACTTGTGTGCGTGGTGGAGCTTTTAAGTGCCTGCTCTCTCCCTACATAAAAAAAAAAAAAAACCCCAGCAATTGTGATTGAAAAGTCACCATCCATCTGTTGCCACTGTCTGCTATTAGGCTAAAATAAATAGGAATTAATAAAATAAGTGTTTTATAAAAATAAAATAAAATAATTTTTATGTAATTTGATATATTAAAAAGTATAAGGTAAAAATTATTATTATGATTTATTGTAATATTTAGTTAGTAAAAATAATTTTAAAATAAAAAATAAATAATAAAAAGATAAAAATATTTTCTATGTTTTATTATTTATTTTTATCAAAATAATAAATTGTATTATCTTTATCAAAATAATACATCGTATATATTATTTTAATGTAAAATTTTACCTTAGTACAAATAAAAAGAAAAAGAGAAATTTATTAAAGTTTCTAAAAACTTATTTGGATAATATTTCTTCCCAATAATATTTTTTATGTACAATATTTGATAAAATGAAAACTCACCAAGAAAGAAGTTTTCACCCATTATACGTAATGTTGTGCACCTTTTAATAATTTTTGTCAATCTAATGAAGAGAGTTGCAAGTCTAGGACATTAAACAAAGAACAAAAAATAGGACAGCAGTAAACTAAGCCCATAACATCACACAAGGAACAAAAAAACAGGGCACTTGAGCACATTCAATTCAACTCATTTTCCTTTACATCAAACAAGTACATGATCGCAGGCAAAACTGGAAAGCTAGACAATGGATGAGAGCAATGTAGCTGGAAAGGTGGACAAGAGAGATGTTGTGGCGATTAGAGGAGATAGAAATGGTGGAAGAGAACAATGCGGTTGGAAGAGATGGAAGGAGAGGAGGAGGAGAGAAAAACTGATTTTATATGGATAAAATAGTAATTTTCTAAATTTATTAAAGATAATTTCATCTTAATGATTTTGAAAGCTATTCCATTAGACATGGAATAGCTAATAGGAAGAGTTAACTTTAGTTAAAAGATGGTTTTTTATTGATTTTGAGAAATTTTTAAAACTTAAAAATTGCTAATTCTTACCAAATTACTAACCAAACAAGAGGAGCAAATAATAGTTGGGAATAGGGGGAGATTAGTTTAGCTATTCCGTTGTTAATAGTCTATAAGATTTCTACGTCTTGATTACTTCAATTACTTAAGATATCATGTTAAGAAAATCCAATTGAGGCTAAATTTGTTCCGTTTTATGTTGATTAGAAAACAAAATATATTTATATCATAATTAATATAAATATATGCTAACATTTAATAAAGATAAACCATTGCTCTAATAATATTTACCTGAGCGATGAAGGCAGGCTTGGCCCTTACATGATCTTTAGCTTTTCCTCTCAAAATATGTATACGAGCAAGAACTTAATTTGGAACGGCTCCTAATTACTCGTATGTCTTCATTGGGAATCAGCTGTTGTTGACTTCTGGTTACTGTGATTTCAGTCTTTTGGCTTCATGAATGGTCATGTTTCACATGTTCAGCTCCTCTGAACTGATCAGTTTAAAAGCACTTACAAGAGCATGGAATCTGGACACAAGACATGTAAAGCCATGACACCCCACAACCTAATCAGATAGCAAACTTTACACTTTTAACTGAAGACAAACACAACTAAAACGTGAAGAAAAGCATGTAACTGATAAAACGTAAGAAAACAAAATTGAACAGTAAAGAGTCATAACTGATATTGGCTCATAATTTCATTATACTGAAAAAGGATATTACCCTCTCTTCTTTCATAAACTTCATTCACCCTTCCGTCCAAGATTCCATGCAACTCTGAATGAGTACCTAGTGGTTCATAAGTTGAGTTAAGGTATATAAATTAAGCTAATAAACGTTTGTGAGATTTGAGAAAATATCTAAGTTTTACCCATAAGAACATCCTTGTCATATGCAGTTGACAAATTATTCTCTAGATTCACCTCAACAGCAAATAAAAAAAAAATTCAAATTAGATTTTCAGACAAAGAACGGCCTAGAGAGATTAACGGTCCACCAAAATTTGTACTCAACTAGCCGAAGATTACTTGGTGCATGCATATGTAGGCTACCTAACGAACCGATAGGAGAAATTTTGGACGTTTTTCGTTTGCTTTGAAGCGTTGTCCTTTTCGTTGCTTAAATTTCTTGTTTCTTGTCAAATGCCTTGCAGTCCTCATCTGTCAACATTGCTGTTGGAGCTAACTGCTCTCTGTCCAATTTTCCATTGTGTCATTTTGTTAATACCCTTGCAAATTGTGCAAACCAGAAGTACAGTTCCAACATAAAATGAAAAAAGAAAAGAAAATTTTTACCAGCAACTTGTGGCTAATATGAGAAAAAAAAAGTTATAATTATCTAAGGTCACTTATCTGACAAATCGATAGATTTACAATATTCTAATTATCTAATTAAATCCCCCACCCTATATAATTCAATTAAATAAAAAGGGAGGAAATAAATTACAATGGCCTAAATTTGAAGGTAGTATTTGTTATGAATATACATTTATATTATACATATATATCTAGATTTAGATGTAGATTAGATTGGATTAAAATTAAAATTTAATACACCTATCTGATTCCTTATTATTATCTTTATCTTATAAATTCTATTTAGAACAAGTCATTCACTTCATTTATAAATAGATATTTGAATAAGATCTTCTTTCTCTCTTCATATACTTTCTTTTATAGTTATTTTCTTACTTCTCTTTCTTTAGTTTTCAAATACTTTCTTTTATAGTTATTTCTTGCTTCTCTTTCTTTAGTTTTCAAATACTTTCTTTTATAGTTTTTTTCTTTCTTTACTTGTTCTTTCAAGTTATCTTTATTTATTCTTTGAAGTCATATTTCATAACACATTATCAGCACGATTCTCTAATTTTTCAAGTTTTGATATTATTTTATTTTTATCATCTTTAAGTTTCAAAAGGATTTTAATGATAAGGTTTTGATTTCTGATTTTAACAAATCAGATAAGTGTTGGTATTATTTGGTTTTCATCATCTCTAAGCTTTATAAAGATTTCAATGGTTAGTCTTTAATTTTTAATTGTAAAAAATCAAGTTAAGTGACTTGATATCTTTTTGGTGTTTTCTTTCTCTAAAAGTATTAATATGTATTTAGCTATCAAGTATTATATATTATATTTTGTTAGCTACCAATAACAAATTATGAATCCATTCATTTCTTGAAATAAATGTAACATCATTTAACAATTATAGTCATAGAAATAAAAGAAGTCACTATAATAATTTACATTAATCACTCACTATTCTAATTCTAAGAATAACTTTACTCACCAGAAGTGGATGGATAATTTTACTTACTTAAATGAAAACCTTAACTCACTAACCCACTAGAAGTGATTAACCCACAAAAAGTGAATAGATAATTCACCAAAAATGAATGAATAATGAAAAGACAAAAATGGATAGAATAAAATGAATATAAAAAATGTCTTGTTATCAATGTGATATGAAAGGTCATTGGTCACATACCTGTACATCTTGCATCATTGATAAAACAGATTGTGATGATTTTAACTATATAATAGTTTGTTCATATGTTTTAGTAAAATTCTATTATAAAGATGCTTTTACATGTTTTCATTATATTTAAAAAATATGTTTTTATTTTGTGTTTTAATTATGTATTTAATGTTCTCTTATGTTAATTTATAAGTTTCTTATTATGTATTTTATCTTATTAATGAAAATATTGATATTCATCTTTTTGGATTTAAGATCGGTGATACAAATATATGTCCAGCAAACATTGTTATACTACACACTATATTTAAAGAAATTTTAAATAATTATAAGTTAGAGAAATTTTAAATTTGAATTTTTCTAAATCCAGAGTCTTAAACTTTTTCATAAATTCAGATTTATGAAATTTGAATTAAGTCTTTTTAAAGCACAGGTTCGAGTTTGAATTCATTTTGCCGTCTCTTACAAGAACTACATAACCACTTAACGGATCCGAATTCGTTCCTTTAATCTGTAACTTCGACAAAGGAGGTCGGAACCTTAAATCTCAGTATTTTCGTTTTCATAATAAGGGGAGGCGAATTGAAGTGTGAAAATTTCGTTGTGGAGGATGACAATCGAACAAGGAATGCTTCAATCATAATAGAACAAAATGTTGGGTTTGCTTTATTACGTAACATCAAATGTTTATTTTATTTTTGGATATATAGTTATGTAACATCAAACGTTTATTGTATGCGACATTGAACCAATCTTTACTCATTCAATCAATAGATTTAAAAGGGAAAAAATAACATGAAAATATATGGAAACGAACGATTGAAATTAATTTGGATCCAATTAATGTAGGTCCATGTGCATATGGAAATTCACGTGACAATCCTGCTACAAATGAACAACCCAAGCCCAACATCCACGTGAAACAATAAGTCCTTTAGTCTTGGAACATGTCTATTTGTCTTGGGGAAAAAACACACGACCTCCAAGGAAACTGATATTTTTGGGCAACAAATGGAATGAGCTGCCACAAATTCCTTCTATTATTATTCACAATTTATATGAGTACAATAAATAATGAATTCATAAACATTTATTTTGATAAGATAATAAACAATTTAAATTATTAAATATTTTTATTTTAATTTTAATTTAGGAAAAATTATATATTACCTGTTAAATGAAATATTTATTTTTTTAGATAGAATATTATAACGTTTTGGACAGGTGGAGGACATGCAATGGGACACAAGGCTTGGCAATTTGTCTTCTGCTATGTAGTGAAATAAATGTTGGCGTATTGTCATTGTATCGAGAAGTACATTATCCGGGGTGAAATTGCAAGATATATATATATATTGGTGGTGACAGGTTTGGTGGAGCCAAATGCTTTCATGGCCATGAATTCATGTTTGGATGTCTGTGTTTGTCCTCCATGTGAACAACAGTGCAGTGATGTGAATACAACAAACAAGTAGCCACAACCTGCAGGTTGTGATCGAGTTGAGTCCATGTGGATGGAACTCCGTACCTTGTTATAAGCCAAAGACTCATGAGTTTAAATCTTTAAATAACGAAATAGAAGAGTATTATTTTTTATTGTATAATTTAAATTTGTATTTAAGATCTAATTAGCTTTTATATATATACTTAGAATAAGTTATAAATTAATAATCAGCTGTGGAGTTAATCGACTTTTGTGAGAGAAACAAATTAAAATTTTTTAAAAACCTATTAAAAGAAAAAAAAATATAGTATTATAAAAATCTTTGGAGGTCACATTCCCTCGTAATAACACAAGCATCCGCCAAGTTAGACGGATGTATTTAGATTTTGAAATTATAAGTAATTAACCTGAGTTCAAGTCTTATCAAGTGTGGATTTTATCTATTTTATATTGGTTTGTTGGTTTGTTTAATTTGTTTATTAGGTTTTTATAAATGTAACAATTATGTTATATATATACATATATATTGACTAGTGTTTCATTGGATTAATTTAAATTCCAATTTGAATGTGGTAAAACTGAAGCACTTATATTACAATATTTTAGCATGGATATGCATTCTTTTCTTGTGTCTATATTTTATATCATATGCTTTAACATGCATGGCGTGATTTGGGAATATTGAATGAAATATAAAAAGAGAAAAGAAACTCTGTCATCTTCCTAAGATATCATTACGCCTATTTTCAACCATACATACGCAGATAATATCAAGTTCTACTTACATACCTAAACCTGAATCTTAATATTCTGTTTTTCAGATGAATTGAATGTTAACATTCAGAGGCAGAGTCAGAGGGAGGCATATGATGACGACCATCATCTCTTAATTTTTAATTTTATTATTATTATAAATATAAAACTTTATATATAATATTATCATTCTTATAATGACCTTTTAACTATTCTTTATTTAAAATTTTAAATTCACCACTATTAAAAAATTCTCGAGCTTTTTTCATTCTTTTCACTTGGTGTTGGGCTCTAAAGGGGTATAGGCTCAATTTGGCATTTTGTGGCTTAAAAATGTCAAGGTGTTTTTTTGCCCCCCATCGTTTTGTTGGTTCTATCAGGCCCAAATCAATTCCCTTGTCTTTTATTGTGCATCAATTGCTTTTATTTCATTTCATCATATGGTTCCTTAATGGGTGAATCGACTCAGGAGTTTCAACATTTGATATTAATTAAAAGAAAGAAAGAAGGAATTTCACTTGTAGATTTGGATCAATTTTTTTTTCCAACGTCATGTAAATTTATTTATCTTTTTGTATCTCTTTTAATCATATATCAACTTTTATCTTTTAATGATAAATCAAATTAATTTTCAATCGAATCAAGTAGTTAAGCATGTTTTGTGATTTATGAGATCTTCCATTGAGCCCAATACAAGGGCATAGCTAAGAAAATGACTGGGTGGTGTCAAGTGGTGACCACCACTCCTTAATTTTAAATTTTCTTTATTATTATAAATGTAAAATTTAATTTATATATATAAATAATGACTATTTTTATAATTACACTTTAGTCATCCTTGAGCAACGTCCTTAATTCACCATTGATCCAAAGAAACTCCAGCTAAGAGTTGTACACTTTCTTTGCTGTTTTCCTGGCTGCACAAAATTTTCAAACCTGCTCCCGAAGCTCCTGGAAGCGTCATTTAGATAGAGCTTAGATCAATTTGGCAATCCTTTTGTGGAAGAACTTGACTAAAAGAACAGAGATGTACACAGAATGGAATGAGTCAAATCTACAAGAAATGATAATTTTATACTATGTTAATATATAGTCAGCTTCTCAGCTCACCAACCCCTGCCAAATATTTCACCACCTTCACCAGCACTAAGAAAAACTTGTTTTACAATTGAACTTGGTTGTTCCAACCTCCAATTTAACATTCCCACTTCAAAGCCTCAGGTACCTCCCACACAAATGCACTTTCCACACTGAAACACTTGCTCCAAACAATGGCAACTTACCTCCAGCAGCAACCAAGCAATGTTGAAGATGACTCGGTTATTCTCTTCTCAACTTCCAGTTCACCTGAAGGATCCACCAGCCTTTCCTCTTCCTTCTATCACTCACCACTTTCAACTGACAATTCCAAGACTTCTCACAAACTAACAGTGAGAAACCTTTCCTACACAATTCACCTGAAAAGGTCAATTCCTGATGCTTTTTTTCACTTGGGGCAAATGCCTAAGCCTGTTGAGATACTTAAATCGGTCAGCTTTATTGCTAGAAGTTCCGAAATCCTTGCCATTGTGGGTCCAAGTGGCACTGGGAAATCTAGTCTTCTCAGGATAATATCAGGAAGGGTAAATGATAAAGACTTTGATCCTTGCAGTATCTCTATCAACGATCATCGGATGACCAGTCCAGTTCAGTTGAGGAAGATATGTGGATTTGTGGTACAAGAGGATAATTTGCTTCCTCTACTTACTGTAAGAGAAACGCTGATGTTCAGCGCCAAGTTCAGGCTCAAAGAAATGACTTCAAAAGAGAAGGAAGAGAGGGTTGAGAGCTTGATGCAAGAGCTTGGCCTTTCACATGTTGCGGACAGTTTTGTTGGTGATCAAGAGAATAGAGGAATTTCAGGCGGAGAAAGAAAAAGGGTTTCGATTGGTGTTGATATGATTCACGACCCTCCAATTTTACTCCTGGATGAGCCAACTTCAGGCCTGGATAGTACTTCAGCTCTTCAAGTTATAGAGCTGCTTGCTTCGATGGCCAAAGCTAAGCGAAGAACTGTGCTGCTTTCGATCCATCAACCAAGCTACAGAATTCTTAAATATATTTCTAAATTTTTAGTCCTTTCTCATGGCTCTGTTGTCCATAATGGGAGTCTTGGATTGCTTGAGGAAACCATACAGAAATTGGGATTTCAAATTCCAACTCAGTTGAATGCACTAGAATTTGCAATGGAAATTATGCCTGCACTGGAAGCATCAAGCTCCAAATTTTCTGGTGCTGAAGACGGGGACTCATATTCCTACCCGGTATGGTCAGACGAAGAATGCATCAGAATTCAACAACACAAAGATGAAAAACAGATGGGAAATTTTTGGTTTTCAAGTTTGCTTGAAATTTTGTTTCTCTGCTCAAGATTTTGGAAAATTATTTATAGAACAAAGCAGCTTTTCTTGGCAAGAACAATGCAAGCCGTTGTTGGTGGGTTTGGATTGGCAAGCGTCTATGTGAAGGTAAGGAAAGACGAAGAAGGGGTCGCTGAGAGATTAGGTCTATTTGCATTTAGTCTAAGTTTCCTCCTTTCTTCCACAGTAGAAGCACTTCCAATATACCTCCAAGAACGGCGCGTTCTGATGAAGGAAGCCTCAAGGGGAGCCTATAAAATTTCCTCATACATGATTGCCAACACCATAGTCTTCATGCCCTTCTTATTCGCGGTAGCTATCCTTTTTGCTGTTCCTGTCTATTGGATTGTGGGGCTTAATCCTTCCATTGCAGCTTTCACATTTTTCACTTTTGTGGTTTGGCTCATAATCCTGATGGCAAGTTCCCTGGTACTCTTCCTCAGTGCAGTCTCTCCTGATTTCATAGCAGGGAATTCCCTCATTTGCACAGTTCTTGGAGCCTTCTTCCTATTCTCTGGCTACTTCATTCCAAAAGACAACATCCCAAAGTATTGGCTCTTTATGTACTATGTTTCCCTTTACAGGTATCCATTGGATACCCTGCTTACAAATGAGTATTGGAGTGTGAGAAGTGAGTGTTTTTCATGGCATTCTCCGGATCATTCCCATTGTTTGCTTACAGGGAATGATGTCCTTGAGAGTAGGGGGCTCGATAAGGATACAAGATGGATGAATGTTGGGATCATGTTTGGTTTCTTTCTGTTCTATCGAGTGCTTTGTTGGATCATTCTTGCTAGAAAGGCTTCAAGAACAACCATATAGTTATATCCCTAGAACCTTATAGGATTTATATCAATACAGTTTTTGTTCATAGATAAATTTAATCTTTCATATTTTGTAAAATAAGATGGTTAGATTTTCTTATGTTTATTCATTTTTTTATTTTCTTTTTAATAATTTCCCACAAAAAAATTCACTATTATTCTCTCAATTCTAATTCCTATGTTCACGTATTACAGCATAGACTAAGTATATATACATACATTGATTAACAATGACATACATAAACATACTGTGGAAAGAAAAAGATTTATCCAATTACGAGATGCCATATGTTTTTTGAAATTAATAAATTGAAAAATTTTTCAAAGATAAATCATGTATCACCATGTGAATTTGATGATACTATTTAAGCTAATCATACAATTTATCAATAGATCCCAAGCTCTAGTAGGGGGAGAATCAAAAACAATAAATTCCTTATTCAAAGAAAAACCTTGATTAACCATAAATCTGCCAAGGCATTGCCCTCTTGGAAGACATGACAAATACCAACTTCCCAGTAATGATGACCGAGACTTTGAATAGCTTGCATCAAATCCAAGTTGGAACATAGGTGAACAAGAGGGGAAAAAATGACCTGCACAACAAGCTTGTTATCAATTTGAAGATCAATTTTGCGATGGCCTAAGTCCCATGTGAGACATAATCCCTGCAATACCCCAAAGCTCTGCATGGTACGCCATGCATTTCCCAAGATGAAACGCAAAGCCACCCTACCACTCACCTGTAGAGTTTCGAAGAACACCACCTGTTGTTGCAAGTTCCATAGACAGACGATAGGCACCATTTGAATTCGAGAAAATCCACTCTGAAGGAGGAGCGGACCAACCAATGAGAACTTTTTTTCTTCGTTTTGGAGAGATACCCACACACTCAAGGTCAAGGTTTTTTGAACAAGAATCATGCATAGCAGAAGATAAGCTAGGAATCAAAAATCATCTATAAATCATCATGTTTTATCTCTATTTAAATTAATTAATTTAAAAATAAAATCAAAGAAATTAAATATTTTTGGAATTCTCTCATCTAGTATTATAAATATGAAACTCCTTCAGAAGATTATGAAAAATAAAGTAAGTCCAAGAAAGAAGATCAAAAGAACAAAATCACCCACTTCAAGTTTCAAAGTTTCAACCTAGATGAAGAAAAGATTTTGAAGACTTAAAACTCCAAAGATTCAAGTCTCAAGCTTTGAAAAAGTGAAGAAAATTTGAAAAGCGGATTTCGTTTGTTCAATAAATTTTTCAAGAAATTGCACTCTCAAGGAAAGACATCAATTTTGTTTGTTCAAGACTATAAAAGGGGTTCTTGTGATAGAGAGAAAAAACATTGTAAACAAGTAAAAGGATGTACCAGAGATGAAAGAGAGAAAAATTTGAGTAATTCTTAAAGTATTGAGTGTCATGACAAGCGGAAGAGAATAAAAAGAGAATAAGTAGAAAATGTATAAGAGAATAGAGAGAAACTTTGGAAAAGTGAAGATCTTCTAAATGAATTGTGAAGACTCTATATATAATACCAAAATAGGCAGTTACTCAAGAATAGACTTTAATGCATGTAATAAATGATATTATTATGAAAAGTTTTAATGTGAGTATCTATTATTATAACCCATTATGTGAATAGCAAAATAGGGATTTTACTACATATAACAAGTAACAGTTAAAAACTCATTATATAACCGTTGAAGTGATTAAGTGTAATAAGATTTGTTCTCGAGTAGAAGGTAATAGAAAAGAAGTAAACATGAAAAGCTATACAAGAATAAGTTAATAGAAAAATGTGTACATGAATAAGTATAAGAGACGAATGTATACGTGAATAAGTACACGAGAACAAGGTAAGAGGAAAAAACACTTATACTTCAACAAAAGATTAAGATGAAGACCTCTTAAGTATCTCCATATCCGAGTCATCAAGCTAAATTCTTTGAAACCTGTCACTTATTCTAATTAACTTTCACTGTTATCTAAATGAAGGAATTATTTTGTGCGAAGTAGTTCTTTTACTTGTATTAGTCATTTCGTATAGAGTCATACTCCATTTATTTTAGCTATTCTATATGAAGTAATGCTTCACTCATTTTAGTTGTTTTGTATGAAGTAGTGTTTTACTTGTAAATGTTGTTCTCATTATTCTTTGTACAACATTACGTTGTAAAATAATTCTTTAGAGAATAGGTAATAACCAAAATTAACTATTTACATTTTACGCCTTACATAAGATTTTTCAAGAATTTGATTTCTCTTCGAAAGTTAGATAATCTATGTTATGGATATTCTATTTAAGGTGGAGATTTGAAGATTCTAGAAAGTTTAATGATTGTGATTAAAGAGATGAAGAGTTTGCAAAATTTGTGTGAGTTGATTGGAAGCACAATTAAGGGAGATGGGTTGATCTCTTCATATCAAGTTGAGAACATGAATGTGAATTTCATTCACAACAAAGCAAGTCATTTTTGCGAGCTTGGTGAAAAGGTAGAGTTATCAGCTCAAGTGGAGTGCATTTGAGAAAAGTGAGATTGTTGGTTTTTTTTTTTAATTTGGTAAAGTTACTTGCTAATTAAATAAATTTAAGAATTTTTTTGGTACTCAAAAATATGTTATTATATTTAAGTTAAATATGAGCTTGTTTGGCTTAACTTTTTTAGTTCTAATTTTGATTTAAATTATCATAAAGGGAGAGGAGAAGGAGATCAATCAAGAGAGGGAGTATTTTTTTAAGGGTAAAGTTGGGGTTCTTTTAATAGATGAAGATATTTTTGAAACAAAAAGAAAAATTTTTGTAAAAAGTTGACATGTTTTTAGAAGAAGAGAAGAGAAAATTACTCTAGAGCTTTTTCTAAAGTTTTTGTTTTTAGATTTTATTCTTTAAAAAAATTACTCTTTTTTAATGTTTCTCAAACTCTTGATTAGCTAGATTTTTGTTTATAAAATATAAATAAATTGAAAAAAAAATCAAATCAAACAGACACTATATATTATTTTGGAGAGTTATAAGATATCTTAGGAGAATGTGAAAGAGATTCTTTAGTTTTGGGCATTTGAGATTGCGAGAGAAATGGGAAAAAAAGATTAAAATTATAATCTTGAAGGATTGTTAAATTGTGAAATTTTTACATAATGAAAACTTGTGTTTTTTATTGTGTATCTGTTATAATAATAAAAATAAATATAATTTATAACCGCGACCAAGCAAGCATGAGATTTCCATCTTAATCATGAAAGTGAAAGTAAAAAAAAATAGTTTAAGGCGGATTAAGAAGGGAAGAGACAAAGCAAAGAAGTGAAGTGACATGCCAAATCCAACTAAACCTTGTCGCCACATGTGAAAAACCAGTACAACTTCGAAACAAAACAAAGTTGACAAGCCAAAGCAAGGATGAAGGATCTATACTTAAAAAACACCCACATCACTTCTCCACCTTGTAGGCCCCCTTATTTATTAAGTTATAACCACGGGATCTCAGTCTTTATCAGGCAGAGCTTAGACCTGGGAAGCATTCATCCTATCCAATTTGTCAAACTTCGACCAGAGCGTTGAATAAAAACCCAAAATCTCCAATCACCTGCAAACTCCTACCCACTCTCTTCAGGTAACTACATTCATCTCTCGTTTTCTCTTTACGTTTTCTTCTTCTTGGTTTTTGTTGCTTCCTATATTTTTTGACTTCAGGGTTATGCTCCATTTGTTTGTAGTTTTTATTTATTTTTTAAGTAGAATATCAGATCTGTTCTTTGCCAATGTGAATTCTGACTAATGCCCAGATTTACCCTTTTGTTTTTTGATTCAATTATTATCATTTTTCATTCTTTATGCTTTGAACATTGCCGTTTTCATGTAGCGTTTACTTATATCTCACTGCCTTGTTGCGTGCAATGCGCTGATGCAGATTCATCCTTTGGATATCTGAGGGATTTAGGATCTATTGACTGAGGTTTTGCAATAAATGGTATTCTTGACTCGCTGCAATTCTATACTGTATAGCTGCAAATTTGTGCGATTTAATGGAATTGATGTGATTTCTTTTCTCATCCAAATGTTGCTATAGATAGCATAATTTAAATTACTCGAGTTGTGGCTGTAAGGAGGCAGGATTTCGTATAGCGTATTAAAAGATGAAGCGCGTTTCGCCACTCTTCTTGGCACTTTTAGTCCTAGGATTTTTCTTTGCAACATATAATTTGTCGACTATGATAATACACTACAAGACCTCAAGTTCAGAAAATTGGGATTTATCCGATCCTATTATTGGAATGCATGAGAACTTAAAGGAAGGTGGGGATTCTAATTCAAAGTACCATGTTGCTCTCACAGCAACTGATGCTCCCTATAGCCAATGGCAGTGTCGCATTATGTATTATTGGTACAAGAAGGTAAAAGATATGCCCAGATCAGATATGGGAAAGTTTACTCGAATTTTGCATTCAGGGAAGCCTGATAGTTTGATGGAGGAGATTCCAACTGTTATCGTGGATCCTCTTCCGGAGGGTTTAGATCGGGTGAGTCTTCTTCTGTTTAGTGTTTCAGTTCCTCATAAATTTTAAGTCTGTTTCTGGCTGTAAATTTTGAACATTTATAATTGAATGAGCAGTCTGCATTATTTTATATCAAAGTGAAATTTTGTTTATATGTTGTGTTCAGTAAAATGGATAATAGATTCAGGCAAGGTAATAGATGTGTTTTGATGTGCTAAAATATCAATTAAAAGATGCATGACAGCTTCACTTACTCCATCTATTATGATACCTGAGCTAGAAGCATGGAGGAAAGCTGCAAATATTATTGTCTCAATTTTTTTTTTTGGTAATCTCTTGATTATTGACTTTTCTTTAAATGGATTTAATATTTGCATATTTTACCAAAGGTTCACTTAAGTCAACAAGCTTCGAATCATTTTCAAAGTATTGGATGGGCAGGAACAAACAACTAAAATGATAGCTGTTAAATATATTTCTGTAAACTCTATAGATATAATCAAGCTCATCTGAAATATGTTGGTGTGAGTTTAAGATGTTTATAAAGATTTTCACTTGAATTTTATTTTTAGAGTGAATCGTCCATCAGCACCAGTTGAAACTTGAAAGACACAAGCTGAACTAAAGCACCTTCTTGTTTTAATTAAATTATTCTTATTCTGTTTCGATGTTGTGTTCAGGGTTATATTGTCTTAAATAGACCATGGGCTTTTGTGCAATGGTTGGAAAAAGCAACAATTGATGAAGAGTGAGTTTTTTTCAACTGATAAGATCATTTGTGTTTTCCACCCTTCCTTTACTTGATCTAAGTTACTGCATTTTATGACTGATGCAGATACATTCTAATGGCAGAACCTGATCATGTATTTGTAAATCCTTTGCCTAACTTAGCTCATGGAGACCATCCAGCAGGGTTCCCTTTTTTCTACATTAAGCCTGCTGAACATGAGCATATCATTAGGAAGTATTATCCCAAGGAGAAGGGTCCTGTGACAGATATTGATCCAATTGGCAATTCTCCTGTGATTATTAGAAAGGTAGAACTTTATGGTCATGGTAGCTTATGTGGCACATTTGATCTGAGCATAAATTACTATTCAATTACTTTTGACATGATAACATTTACTTGTTATTTATAAAAATTTAAAGCATAATTCCTTGTAAGCCTCATTGTCATCGGTTGCAACCAAATAGTTTAATATGTTTGTATGTTTTATATGCCTTAGTCTGCACTGGAGGAAATCTCACCTACATGGATGAATGTTTCTTTAAGAATGAAAGATGACCCAGCAACTGATAAGGCATTTGGATGGGTGCTAGAAATGTAAGAAACATTTTTTTTAATTGTCTTAATAATATTCTTTTGGCTGAATGGCCTTTTGACGTGGTTGACCATTCGATTGGACTTAGGTATGCCTATGCTGTGGCATCAGCACTGCATGGTGTGCGGCATATACTTCGTAAAGACTTCATGCTCCAGGTTTTAATTGAAAAATAATGAGCCTTATTTTTCTCCCTCAATGACCTTTAGCCCCATTGAAATTTAACTTCCATCTCTGTTTGTTATCAGCCACCATGGGATTTGGAAGTAGGGAAAAAGTTTATAATCCATTATACTTATGGATGTGACTACAATTTAAAGGTACAACCATACAAGGATCTCTCTCTGTCTCTCTGTCTCTCTCATTTATTGTTTTTGAAGCATAATGTGTAATCAGTGATTTGTTTACCGCTTCGAGATGAAATTTTACCTTTCTAGACATATCTTGTACCACAAGTTCACTTTGAGTTGGCATTACAGGGAGAATTAACATATGGAAAGTTTGGAGAATGGCGTTTTGACAAGAGATCATATCTTAGTGGGCCTCCACCAAGAAACCTCTCTTTGCCCCCTCCAGGTGTTCCCGAAAGTGTAGTAAGTTCATCAACAAGTTTCATTTCTTAGGGGTCCCTTTGGGAAAATATAAATACAGGCCATCTGGTATGATATAGAAGTTGATGGATTGATCATTGAGTAAAAAGAATTCAAACTAAGCCTAAGTGAATTTTTCATTATTTACTGTGCACAACAACAGGACCTGGTAATGGCTGGAATCAGTGTCTCACTTAGTTCTGGCTAATTAATTGATTTTGTATTGTTATACTCAGTTCAATCTTGTTGCAGATGTTTCAATCTTCATGGTCTAGACTGAACATTATGTGGGATATTTATAATTCTTATTTCAGCATAATTTTCCTCATATTAACTTTAGTTATCAACTCAATGTGATTGCCAATTGATGACATTAAGTTGGTGATAATAGATGCCAGAAGTACTACTGAGTAGTGGTTTGGCACTAATATTCTGCCATTGCCTATAGAGGCAATAGCAGAATCAGTCAATCACCCTAATGTTCTGCCATTGGCTTTACTTCATTAGCACAGTTTTCCCAGTCCCTGAAGCCTATTTAAATAAGCTCACCAAATTAATAAGTTTTCTTGACATAAACTTTTGGGTTTCAATTTATGTAATTTTTATCTTTCTCTCTCCAGTCTGGAATCTAATAGTTGCAATTTCTGCAGGTGAGGCTTGTAAAGATGGTGAATGAGGCTACTGCCAATATTCCCAATTGGGACACTTTAAATCGTGGCTGAGATCTAACCTAATTAGTCTTACTGATATCAAGCTCGTTCAAAAGAGAGTTATCAACACTAAATACAGGTAGTGAGACAGCAGTATATATAGAGAAGGAGATGTTTACAAGTTAAATGAGGGATTTATCATTTTTTACACTTCTTATTATAACCATGAATGCCTACAAATATTTTTTGTGTACCTCTTAAGCATGATGTCTATTTATTAAAGTTTTCTTGTGAAGTTTTGCTGACTGTAAATCAAATATACCTTTCGAAATTTTAATTAGTTATGTTGGCAATACAAATCAGTGAGAGATGACAATCTTTTTGCCTGATCAATGGGGCATTGGGGGCATAAATACTAAGCTTTCACCATGCTTGCAAGCATAGCAATTCTTTCTTTCTTTCAAAGCACCTAGACCCACATAAGGAACAAGCATGACAGTGCTTCTGTAATACCTATTTGGTAGAGAAGAGGGGTTCAAAATGGTCATTTTCTTTTACCTAGTCCCACATTGGTAAAGTTTTATGCATATATGATTACACAGAGAAATATATGTATAATAGCCATGTCTGTTCAGTGTTCGGATGAGTCTAGGTTGCAGTTCCATTCCAATGAAAGATTTTTCGGTTTATAGAATGTTCATGGTGTAGGTGAATTTTGTGATTGCATATTTTTATGTCTGATTTACACAGACGTTTGATTAGGTTGTGTCCTTTTAGATGCCTTTCTTATGCATAGTAAATTGCCAGGTCTAAGATGATGCTTATAATGTTTGAAAAAGCCTTTACATATTTAACTTGAACAAAATCGAGCTCATGCAAATTATTCAAACGCTTCTGGATGATACAAAGGAGTTTGTGTTATCTCCAGCTTTCTCCAATTTTTTGTATATATATAAAAGAACCGTTGCTACATTTCTTTGCATTTGTTTTGCTTTATCTCCTAAGTATGTATAGACTTCTCCTTATGGGTGTGGAGGTGAAGGTTTAGATGATCTTGTAGTTAGGGATGGCTTCATTTGAACAATTTGTTCTCCATCAACACCCATTTTCTTAGCAGAACGTCCAGCGTCAAAGAATCGTTTAACAGCATCTTCCATGTACTCTTTTCCTTGCTTGACGCTCATTTCCTTTCCTATCTTGTCTGGGTAACTTGTGAGGATATGATCTCCCTTGAGCACTGCCGCCAGCTGCAGCAGCTCTTGCTGGAACTCGCTAAGCCTGGCCTCTTCATTTGCCTCACCTTGCCTGATCCTCACCGGAGTTGGGAGTTGCTCTGTTCACATAGCAATTTTTAACACTTTCAAATGTGAGAGCTCACACATCCATATGTTAGGTTTAACTAATTGTATATAGGGTGACGACTGTAGTGTATGAAACTGGAGGTGCATGACATGTGCACCATAGATTTTATGATTGTTACTTTGGGCTCTTATCTTGGTTGTTCAAGGTCTAGCCAGCCAGTTCCCTTCACCCTTCTCTCTCCTTTTTCCCACTCTTTATCTATCCTCCACTTTTCTCCCCCTTTTCCCTCTTTTCAGCTTCTGCTATGGGTAGCTTTTCCCATTGCTACTTTCTTCTTTCCCCTTCTCTAATCCTATTCCCAACTCTTTCTCTCTCCCTTCCCATTTATTTTCTTATTTCTTTTTCAACACTAAATCCATGACCAACCAAGACTAGAACTGGCAAATCTTAAAAATAATAAAGCTGTTGTGCATTACAAATTTGGCACACTATAGTCTCTACCTTGTTTATAGGATTATAAAAAATGTTACAAGTTAGATGAAGACAAACAACTTTAGTACGCTTTTACCTTTCAGTACGTGAATGCTGGTATAAACAAAGTTATATTCATGGGTTCATGGTAGTCAGGACAAAAATCAAAAGGTTTATTGCTCAAAAGTTGAAGGTAAGTTATGTTAAGTTTCTCTGTCTTCTTGTAAGTTTTTTAAGACTATTATCTATCATAAGTTAAAAAGCAAGGTGCTTTAAGCTTCTTTGTCTTAGAATGCTTCTAATTTGTAATCTTTCTATTCTATTCATCACCAGATCAGTTAAGGTTAAGGTGTATTAATCTTTTCTATCTCCTTTTCACTTGTAACCTTTTTGTGTTATTCCTGGAAAATTTATGACATAAAGATTAGCTGTGTAAACTGTTTTTTTCTTTCCTTCTTACCTGTTTTAATCCCCTCAAACCAGTAACAAGTTAAAATTGTCTAAATGCTGGCTCATCACATTTTGCAGCATATAAACCAAATGTTACCTCTACAAACGCCACTGATTTAGTAACTTTTTCTAAATCACAATTTTTAAAATTTTAAATTCAAATTATTAATAATGATTGACTTAAATCTTTATACAAATCTTGACAATCACATTTACAATCCATTTAGGATGAAGTATCATAATCCCACCAACTATGGACAAATGCTTTAATGCCAATTTGTAATAATCCGACCCAAGCACCACTAGTCCAATAATTTTTCGAACTTAAATCACGTATCTCTCAAAAGTTTAAATTAAAGTTAATAATAATGATTTAGATCCTCATATGAGTTTTAATAATCACTTTAACATCAATCTCACCCACTCAAATGCTACATATTACAATCACAATCAAAGTCAACTCCACAAGTCCAATACCTTACTAGCACAATGTAGAAGCTCACTGAATTAGAACATATTTTAATATTAATTGTAATGATCTAAATCCAAACATTACCAGTCCAATAACTTTCGAACTTAAATCATGACCTTAAAAAATTTAAACTCAAATTACTAATAATAATTGATTCAAATCATTATATAAATCTTAATAATCACGTTGCAAAATACTTATTTTACGTCACCTTAGAGCGTAACATAAAATTTTTGTTGTTAAATATCCTTTTTTTTTTTAAGTGATCTAGCAGTAACAAATGGAGAACCTCACTAGAACCATTCCCCGTTACTGTAGGTCTAATATGAGGTTTCAGTGTTAGGCTGCATTGACTAAAAGCAAGAATCAGAAGAGGGTTAAGGCGGCTGACCTGGACAATCAGTTCTGGGCTCTGCCCGAGTTTGGACAATCGATTCAAAAGTGCCAGCCCATTCGTCCCTCTTGGTGAGGAATGGGGAGGACAGGTTGAACACCTTCTTCACTGTTGCTGGAATTGATGAATGCTCGAATTCTGAAGTTGGAAATGGTTTTCCGCTTGGCCCATGAACAACTGCATAACATTTCAATCTAAACAAGTGAGCCTTCCTTGAATTGTTTAGAACATTAAAAGAGGCCCATAATGGGTGATTTTAAGTTAATGAACAAAGATTTACTACAGTATATGGTGGAGGCTTGTGGCTCACGAGGATTCCTTCAAACATTCACCTAAATAGATAAATAGCTAATCAATAGGCACAAGGTCAACGGAAGTGTTCACACCATGAATGCAATACCTAGAAGACAATCCAATTTGTTATGACTTGTTGAGGCCTTTCCATTACCCTTTCACGCATGGCTTAGCTCCCCAAAGTTTTCTCCAATCTCCAAACAACTAATCCATTTCAATTTCAGCCATGCAACCCTCAGGATAACTTTAAGGCCTCAACAACATCTTCACCAACCATATTCGGCACACAAATGTCGTTGGCTTACTGGAAGAAAAGGTCCAAAAGGAGCTCGATTTCATTATACTTTTAGGTTTGCTTAGCTTGCTTCGCCATTCAACAAAGATTTCACTTTCTGTTTTGACAATGACGGAAAGAGACCAATGAGTGTGGCCCGGGGGTCTCCTTCACTTCCCCACTCTGCTTTATATCCCTTCATTAAAGTCAGTGTGAAATAGCTAGCAGCTGTTCTGTCCCTATGCAAAAGGAAGGACTCTTTTCTGTAGTTGAAGGATGTCATTGTAATATACTAGCTAGTTTAGTGCATATACCATTTATGAATCCAATGTCCAACCAACCTACCCTCCTTTTCGCTTTATTTATTACCTGGGTTTATGATTTTTATATTGTTTTTTTCCCACAAGTATCAAATAAGGAAATTGAAAGGCAACTAAAGAGTAAAGAGTGCTTGAGTTCAACTCACCAGTGCCCTTATCAATCCAAGGAGAGACCATGATAGTAGGAACCCTAACCCCCAATCTATCAAACTTGAAGAAGAAAGGGTCAGGCCCCACAATCTCATCAGGGCTAGGGACCCCACTAACAGGCGTAGCCACATGATCAAAGAACCCTCCATGCTCATCATATGTGATGATCAACAAAGTTTCATTCCACTGCGGGCTACCCCTCAATGTTTCGTACACTTCCTTCACAAACATCTGCCCTTGATACACATCGTGGGACGGATGATCGTCGTTGGCTGGGTCCAGCTTAGTGTCCATGTACCGCTGCTCTACCACAACGTAGCCCGGCAACTGACCGTCTCTTGCATGTTTTTTGAAGGTCAGACCGTAAGGACGAAATCTAAACAAGTGTTTGAGCTTCCTAAGGTTTTTGTAAAACAATGTGGCTGGTATGTTCTGGTAGTATATTCCCCAGGATATTCCGGCGTCATCCAGGTTCTCGAAGATTGTTCTTTGTGGATAGCCCTTTACGAGGAGTGACGGAATGTTGCTCGTTGCTCCGGCGGATGTCGCCGAGTGGACGTAGAGACGATTTGGTTGCGTAGATGATGGCACGGAGGCGAACCACCTATTGAAAACAGCTCACGTTGTTTAGAATAAATAATTTAAGTTCGAGATAAGGGTTGATATTTTCCTTTTATATTTTCTTTAAATGTTGAAATTTTTTCTTATGTGAGCAAGAAAAATTTTTTAAAAAAGGAAAATAATGTGTGAACTATAGAAAAATACTATCAATTTCCATCCATTAATCATTCATTCTCATTAGTTGTACACACTAAATTCTAACAGGATGATACCATATAAAAATGATTAGATCATTAATTGATTACTAATTATGTACCCTTGGGCCTTGGCATTAGAGAAAATAATTTCCAAAAAGGAAAAATGTAGGATTTCTGCATAATTATTACCTGTCAAAAACAGCGAATTCTGATACAAGAGCCTTGTACACAGCAACCATTTCGGGCTCAAAACCATTCATAACACTCTGAGACATATTGGTGGATTGGTCCATGGAGTACGCTTGTTGAGCGAAGCCATTCATCGGCGGAGGGTTAGCGGAGGTATCATTGGACCCAAAAATCTGCTCCCTTATGGCTTGAAATGAGTGACCAGGATCAGGGTCCACGAACTGAGCTTGGTTCTGGAAGAACAACTTTTTGGAGTTTGGATCAGTGGTGGACAAAGGGTTCCATTCAGTTCCGTCGACACCGTCGATTTCCGGGTTGGCTTTCTTCATCCATCCTAGCATGTGATCAAACGACCGGTTCTCCATCACTAGGACGACGATGGTTTTGATTGGACTAGCAGCATGGCTAGAGCTGTGGAAGACTGTTAGCAAGAAGAAGAAGATGGCTGTGTTGGCAGGTGGCAAAGGATTTTTCCTGGTGAACATTATTACTACGGGATTTTTTTGCTTGCATGAGAAAGAGAGAGGAGAGATTCAAATTTCAAGTGTGATTTGACAAATTCTAAGGCCCGTGAACTCTTTATATGGGGCTACATTTAAGGGTCAGATTTGCTTGTGCAACTGGGTTCTGTTTGTCATTTTGTTATTTCAATTGTCTCGTGAGAGATATTCCGCGTTACAGATAAGGACAGATCTTGGTTGGATTGGAATATTGAATTTCAAGAAGAATACTGTAACAGTTGTGCTGGCTTTGGTTTCTAAACAACACTATCCACCCATATATACCATAAATCCAGTGGATGATTAACTCGACTTTACTCGCAAACTTCATCCATTTCTTTTATAGCATAAACTTCATCCATATATAATTATTATTTCTTGTTCATTTTTCCCCACACTAGTAATAACTTGACCTTTTGTTTCTTTTTTAAGCTTTGTGTTAGTGGACTCAGATAATAATAGAAATAGATTGGGATCCACTTGAAGCAAAATCTTACGGAGGAGAACCATGTGGCAATCCCATGTTTGCGAAGGGCGAAGGTGTTCTTTCGGAAAAGGAGGTCAATGTTAATTCCATTCTATATTATAGTTTACTTAAGTGACACCTTCACCAGCATATACACAGTATTGAAAAATAAGAAAATGATGCAACACGACAGTCGTTCCGTTTTCCAACTTTGTTCCACTTGACCAAATAGGATGAATACAGCCCATTTTGTTACGTCTTCAATAAAAAGTTACCCCCCGCCCCCTTTTTTTTGTTTCCTTAAGCAGTCATGTATTTTCTGTTAATCAATTGTAATTGATTCTGATTGAATGCCTAAACGTAGTTAGTTTGGCGGTAATCAACCATTTGTGGCAGACATTAAGTACTAAATCCAATTTTAAATATATTTGGATTTATTAATCTTGAGTCTCTTCCCCATTTCTTAACGTCAAGTATATTCCAATTACAATCTGGCAGTACATACGACCCAATCCTAATAATTGCCTATTTTTGTACTGTTCTTTTTAACAAACACATTCATATTAACGAAGGAAAAATGAACAACTACTAAAATAACTTGATACCCACTTGCAATACGACTTTGTACCAAGATTTTTCCTCACATTCACACAGAACATCTAGGCATGCACCTAGATTGATTTCTTTGGATGGTACAAATATTCAGATCTTCATGCCTTGATTAAGCATGCAACTCATCATCTATTTGGATTCAACCACGCCACAAACAAAATAAAGAAACTGTGCAGCAATGACCAGGACAATGTTCTCCATAGATTTATTTCATTACAGAAGAAGTTTTGAGTGAAAAGCCCAACTTCAAGAAAAGACGCTAGTTTTTGCGTTCCACATCACTCATCATCTTAGCCAGTAAAGCATAATAATAACATAAACAAGTCTTTTGACCCAGATATCAAACGTACACATCACTCATACTCACCCACACATTCTGCTACTCAAAAGCACCACCATAAAATCCCCAATCCCAACTGTCCAACGACTGATATGCAGATCATACCTAGTAGACCTCTCGACTTGAGCTCTGACGCTTATCTGCACAGAACTGGTCAAGCACATCATTATTTATCCACTGCCAGCTGCTGATTTTTAACAGCAATTCAGGCAGACCAGACGAAAGTTAATAGGATATTAAACCAAGTTTATTTGACCAACTCCTCAAGATATAGCCCCAAAACCAACAGATGATCTTATTAACACGTTCTATCTCCATTCCAAGTAACCAGTTAAGGCATTTACTCCTTACAAGCTTCGCATCTTAAAGATGGTTTCCTCAATCTTCCTCCACAGATCTGGCGAAATCTGCAAAAGCAACTGTAAGAGCCACTTGAGATAAACAGGAAAACATGCATGCATGACAAAACATCTCCAAAACACCTGCAACCCAGGAACCCCACATTCTGCAGGCACAGGTGAGAACAGGCATCAATGCACAAAAATGATCTAAACATTAGTGTTACTTCTTAAAAATGGACCTAGGATACATTCACTAAGTGCACGCGCGCGCGCACGCATACACAAAGGGAGGGAGAGGGAGTAAGTGGGAAATGATCTAAGAAAAAATAATTGAGTGCATACTCACTTGTTCAGCAGCAAGTGCCAGCTACAAGCCAAGGCCATCCATGCTCCATCAGAAACTCAACACTGACAATGCTTCAAAGTTGGAGTTGAATTTGGCAGCAGATGGATGCAGTACATTCATGGAAATCATTCTCAAGAACCTCAGGAACAAAAACAGACCCAGATGGAACAAGTTATGTGATAGAACTTTAGAAACAATTATGATCGACTACAAAATTAAGATGCACAAAATGAGTAAAATAGTGAAGTTACCAGCTACACTTGCATATGGATCTCACACAAAATAACGACCTGTCCAGACTGATTGTCCTTGATACTGCTCAGGCAGTGAGTTAAACTGCTGGTTTCCATTCATCAGTTGCTGTTGCTGCAACTTCTGTTCATGCTGAATTTTCAGTTGCTCAAGTGTATGGTAATCCTGCCAGCCTTTCTGCTTTTCCATTTGAAACTGCACTGCCGGAACCTGCTTACCAGGGAAGGGAAAGCTTACTGTTCCAGTCAAGCCATTGCTGCTGTTATTTACATACTGGGGATCTGCATGACATGCATAATTGATGGAACTATCAACCCCAGGGCCTTTCAATGATGATGTCAACTGATATCCATCCAACCAACTATAATCATCCATGAGTGGGTTCTCTATTTCTGTAGCAGAAACAGATTCATTCAGTGGTTTTGGACGAACAGGGCTAAAACCTGGTGGGGGACCAAGATGCCTCACTGGGCGGCTAACTGGATTCTTACGCATCCCAACTTGTGAAACTGAAGTAGTTTTAGCAGCCAAAGAATCACCAGTAACTCCAGATGACACAATAGCATCAATTCTGGATGGCAAAACAGTTTCTGGCATTTTTGTCTGATTATAGTACATACCACCAGAACTAGCACTGATGGGTTGTTGGATAGCAACTGATCGAGCAGCAGAATGAGAAAGGCCTACTTTATCTTGCATCTCAGGTTTTGTTAAATGCCCATTCTCCAAAAGTGTCGAACCTTTCAAGCTATTAGCCAGAGAAGTAGCTTCTTCCACTGACCACCTAGATGCATGCATCTGAACAGGCTGCAGATGCTGAGGGAATATGCTACCAACAGATACAGGCAGTTGAGGACTAGCATCAAATGTATTATGCTGGCGAAGACTATCAAGAGGGCCAGACATGGTACTGCCATAAAATTTGAGATCACCAGCCGAATTACTTTGATTAAGCTTCAAAGTCTCAGACGGGGGCCAGTTTAGACCAATCACCTCAGTTCTCTTCTCACTCACAACCAGCGGCTTGAAAACAATCACTTCATCATCATCCTCCTCTTCCCCAACCATTCTTGGTTGTGGAATTGGCTGCACAATACCAACACTAATAGTCTTCTCAGATGGGGTTTCATGCTCCACACTGTTCGTTGCCAGTTGGATAGAAGAGGTGAATGTGACATCTTCTGAAGGCTCAACTCCAATAAGAAATTTCTTGGCTTTCGAATCAAAACAAACAGTTTCCTGCTCAACCATAATGACATTAGCTAGAGCCTTCCCAGCTGCTAAAATTCTCTTGACACGGGCTTTCTTTTCCTTATCACCATCACTTACAAAAGACCGTTTCCTTGAGAAGTCCAAAATGGTGTGTGCTGGAAGAAGAGGCAAGAAACCTCGCAACTCAAAGTCCTCCCACAATGCAAGACGGTTTTCAGTTTCCCCTTCTTCATACCTGCTCATATTGAAAAAGCAGGTCTCATCTTCATCATCATCAATGCACATTGGCCTAACTGACAAGATCTTATTCAGAAAAGATATGCAATGTTTCCAAAAATGCGATCTAGTAATTGATTGTTTCTCATCCACATCCTTGCAAGCTGCCGCAACATCCGGGCAGCAAGCCATCCATTCTAGAAAAACCAGGATAGCAGGTAAGCTGTGGCTCGAAGAAACATCCCGGAGCTGTAAACATCTCTTAACTACATGTCCCATCAATTCAAAAACGGCAGTGAATGCATTCTGAAGTAGGGCAGCACGCTGCACAATTTCAGCATATGTTTGACCTTCACTCTCCCTCTTCAGATTGTGAACTGTAAATATGAGAATAGAAACCAGCCTAACAAGGAGAAGTGCATTCTCAGCAGCATCTGTGCCAAAATTCATTTCCTCTTCTGGTCCAGCAGAGAGAAGTTCACATAGATCACGGCTAACCAGAGTAAGAACATCTGCAAAAGTCTCCAGGCTGCACGAAAAAGCTTGATAAGAACACAACCCCAAAAAACTTTGTCAATAACAAAAGAGAATAAGTTTGTGAGAAGGTAAACCTTGTGCGTGTAAAAAGAATGCCATTTAGACGCACAAATCTAATGCAGAAGGATTTATAAGTCTCCTGGACACCAGATACTTTCTCCTTAGCAGGGCTCAATTCCATGTTGGCATCTTTAGATGCAAGTTTTGCTTCCACTTTCCCTCTACCCTTTCCTGTTAACCGCACAGCAGGCTCCTTGACCAAGGGAGTTTTAACATCCCCAGGAAGCTGTGAGCAATTATGACGATTCTGCCAAAAAGATACATATATTTTAATACAATTTCCATAGTTTTATATATATACCAATACTACCATATAAATAATAAACCCACCCACCAAGTTTCAAAGTCGGTAACATTAAATATACAATTACTAATCACACCTAATCACACCCTTAACAGTGATTGAGAACAAATATTTTAAGATAAAAGTAGTAAGTTCTCAAAGTTGGATTACCCTATCAGAAACACGCTGCCTGCTCAAACGTAAATAAATATGTCTTTGACACAATTAAAAATCTCCCAAAACACCATAATTAAAAAATATGGTAACT